ATTTGAATTATTGAATTTTTTTTTACAATGATTAAGAAATTAAAATAAAAAACTCTTTTTTACGCCTAAACTTCGTCTAGGCTCGTAAAGCTTGAAATTTGGTCTCCACGCCTAGCCACACTTTACGCTTTTTAGAACACTGGTTTGAGCATATTAATCCAATGTTCCACCACCTCACTCTTTCAAAAAAGTGAGAGACAATTGAATTTTAACAATAGATTTTGTAGAATCCTTGCCCAGCATGTCTTCATTGGTCAGAAACATACTTATTGTAGGCCCAAACATGGATAATTGTTAATAAATATATGGAATATAGCTTAATTCGATATAATTTGTATTTTGCAGGACAACANTATAACTTAATTCGATATAATTTGTATTTTGCAGGACAACAATGATAAACGTGGTGAAAATTCGAAAAAACAAGCGAAAACCGACTAAAATGAAGCACAATCAAAGTTTGAGGACCCAAGTGCAATTATTGAAAAGTTGTGTCGATCTTATGATGAAGATTTGAGAGTTCTGGGCATCAATTGGATGAGGAAAAAAGCCAAAGGGATTAAATATAGTGGAAGTGCTCTCATATATCAACTTATAACTAAAAAAGTTATGTTTCAAATTTTTAGTCTTAGTTTGATACCATTTTTGGAACAGAAGACGTTCGAATGTGAAGATTTATATCTCTGGACGATTTGTAGCCCTTTGAGTAAGATTTCCAACGAAATTTGAATCATCGTAATCGGATAACGAGAGAGAAAGATATAACCAAAATATTAAAAGATGTCCGGTGGGAAAGTCACTCTACCATGCGGCCGCACACATGAAATCAGGCAATCAGAAGAGGAAATGTTTTTATTCCATGTGGCTGCATGGAATACTACCATGCGGCCGCATGGTTGTCTTCCGATGCGAGAAGTTTCTGGTTTTTTTTTTTCAATTCAAACACCTTTGGAAACAAATCTTGGGATGTTACTTAAGCCCTAAAGCTATCCTCAAATCCTAGGCAGACCTGTGAGGAGACTTTTGAAGCGTTTGAGAGAGAAATCAAAGCACANTGGAATGTTACTTAAGCCCTAAAGCTATCCTCAAATCCTAGGCAGACCTGTGAGGAGACTTTTGAAGCGTTTGAGAGAGAAATCAAAACACAAACAAGGAGAATAACATCACGATGGGAAGATTCAATTCAAGAATCTAAATTGGTGATGTCGTTCTATATTAAATTTTTTGATTTCTTTTCTTCTATCATGTAAGGCTAGATTTATACGTGCTAGGTGAACGATGAACCTTGTGATGTGATATTTTAATTCCTAATTTTATTTTGTTGACACTAAAACGCTTTTTGAATTATTCAATGATTTATATACATTGTTTTTTCTCTACAATTATATGCGCAATAGTTGTATGAGCGTGATAGATTATTTTATGCATTCGAAAGAAGAGAAATAAGCTCGACATGGTATAAATCAACGTAGGGTCCGATATGGGATATAAATATGCCGTTATGCTCTACGTGAATCTCTAAGTGTTTACAAAAAGTCAGGCATTCTTGTATATTGCATTTGTCATAGAAATATAGTCAAATGGTATGTTGAAATATGTTCAATTCTACCCGAGAGAGATTATTGAATATGTTAGAAACATTGATTCTTCATCAATTCAAGCGTGTTGTCAATTTTGTAGAACTAGAGTTAAAATGGATCATTAAATGGGAATTCGTGAACCTGGTGCGTTTATTTTCTATTAGTTACTTTAATTTGCATTCAATTATATAATTTGCATCTAATTCAATGAATTCATCCACTATTGCTTTCATTTAGTTTAGTTACAATTTAGTTACAGAACTCAACCATATTTCATGTTTCGGTTAATGTCAGAATAGGTAAAATCGAACTAATAAATCTCTATGGGAACGATACTTGAACTCTAAAATCAATTTTATTACTTGAATAATCCGTACACTTACGATAATTTTTATTTGAAACATATTTTCGATAATCAATGTATTGGCCTGCATTTAACTCTTCTACTACTGGAGTGTGACAATTTTTTGACTTTCCATTCGATGAACTCCCAATTTCAAATACTTGCAAGAATGGAATGTGGGATCCAACAATTCTTCATGCCTTTGTGGTGTACTTTACGATGTTCATGAGAACATCCACGATTCCAAGTAACCATCTCTTGTGACATTCTTGAAAAGACACAGATTTTGATAGCTATTGGAATCCCACTCAACTAACTTCTTTCAGAATTAGCAACATCATTAAATTGTGATTGAGCTCACTCTCAAGTCTTCTCTAGACAACCACTCTAGTGATGGTTAATTTACTTCTTGATGTTTAAATCTATGTGTGTTCTGTAAGTATAATTGTGCATCTACAAGGACGAGAGCCACTGTAATGAGACGAAATCCTAGGAATAGTTTGGTATTAAGAGATACAAGCTCATTGTTTGTTCAATAAACATGTACTTCGATCTTTAATCAACAACTACAATTTAAATTCTAATAGAAAACCATAAAAAGCACGATTGAACTGACATAAATTTTCAGCCTGTCACGGCTTAAATATCACTTTCACCAGACGCAAGGCTTTTTGCATTATGGACTTCATTTTCTTCGATTTCTTTATCCTTAGTCAGGTTGCTTCCGATCCTTCTGCACTTTAAAAAATTAACTAGACCTTCAAGAGAAGCATCAAGATCATCACTCTTCATTAGTTCTTCAGCAACTTCTGCAGGAGTAATTGTCATACTCTCAATTAATTCTTTAATCTCCTCAAAGCGCTCATGGTACCCCTGAATGCCAAGGTAAGTGGAGACTAAGAGCCTGAATCCATCTCCTGTGAGATAAGACATATGAATGTGCATGTCCATGCGCCCTGGACGCAGCAAAGCTGGATCTAGTTTGTCTCTGTTGTTGGTAGTGACCACGACAATCCGCTCATCCCCACAGCTAGACCACAAGCCATCCATGAAGTTTAATAGTCCCGAGAGAGTGAACTACAAGATAAACAGAGAATCGCTGAGTTTTCTGTGTCTCACTGAAATTAACTTCTACATTGCATTACTGCCTGTCAAAACAAACCTATATCGCAAGAATCATCATCTTACGCACATAAAAAGGAGCTTGCAGAAAGCATTTGAAGTGGGAGAGACAACATGATTCACCATCATAATCTTGCTGCGGTTTTGCCCTTGTTTGGGCTCCATTTTCCAGGAAATTTGGGGGAAATGAGTTTTGAAATGGTGATTTTTTTTTTTTAAAGAATGTGTGGTTTAAAAATAAGAATTTTTTAAAATTTACGTATAATATTAATAAAGACAAACATAGGTTTAATCTAGCAAGTATTAAAACTATCTAGCATTCTGTCTGTCTAATAGCATGGCTTGATTTACTCAAGTTGATACTGTAACACACAGAAAGAAGGGCGAGGGGGATGAGGGGCTCAACCATTTTTGAACAGATTAAGAATAACTAGGTTTTTATATGTACCTGCGTATCACGAGGACGTGCCCGTCCAAGTCCATCTACACACATAGGCCCATTTCTATCTGGTAATTCCACACTGCAATCAATATCTTCAATCACAAGTATCGATCTATTTGAAGTTCTCAGCAACAATTTTCTCAAATCCGAATCACGCTTTATATTAGTAAGCTCCAAGTCATAAATATCAAACTTGAGGTAATTAGCCATTGCTGCAATCAGGCTGGATTTGCCAGTGCCTGGAGGGCCATACAACAAGTACCCCCTTTTCCAAGCTTTGCCCACTTTCTTGTAAAACTCTTTCCTTTGGACAAACCTTTCCAAATCTGCAATGACAGCCCTCTTAATCTTCGTATCCATTGCGAGGGTGTCGAAAGTTGAGGGATGTTGGAAGTTAACAGAATCCCACACAATTGGGGACGAATAAGAAGCTAAAGTATGCAACTTGACAGTCTTTTTTTCAGCTCGAATGGAGTTGGCTTTTTCAAGCACGAAAGGCACGTAAAGGTCGAGGACCTTGTCCTTGTGATTCTTATGGAAACTCAGCTCAAAGTATTTTTTCTCGGACGTGAAGAGAATATTGTCGGTATCTTCGTCAATTACCTTGGAACTCTTTTTTCTCTCTTCAGAAACAAATTTCCATTCAAGCTCAATCCCTTTGAAGATATCAACAATTTTCTCGCATTGAGCAAACTTGACACTAACATCTTTATCCTTATGGCGCTTGCTAACCTTAAGGCGATCGATATTTCGTCTGATCTTTGTGGACAGATAGATTTCAGCAGCACTGTAAACTTCGTTACTAGACATACCATCCCTTTCTTCAATGACTATAGCGGCACAGGAGGGTTTAGTCCTTAAATAGGACTGAATTAAGGACCAAATATAATTTTGCGCTTGTCTGGGCATGAGTTGATTCAAGATAGTTTGAAGCAACATAACAAAAGCCGAAAACGAGGCATACGCTGCAAAAATCGATGACGCTGAAGGCATCCCGGAGAAATTCACCACCATTTTTACAAATTTTGAGTTCCCTTTGGAGAGAGAGATTGTAATAAAGGAGTGTTACATAAAAATATTGGGAGAAAGCATGCCTAAACGTGTGTTTTTGTCCGAATGCACAGTGTAGCACTAAAATAGAAGTAAAGAAATAAAGATTCTTGTCCTGCTACTATATTATTTTATGGAAATGTATGTGGAAAGACTGTGCCAACATCTTTTCTTACTGCTTTTTCTTTATGATGATGATGCCATTAAACATAAATAAAGAAACTTAAAAATACAAACAACTTTATTCAAAATAGGCACCTTAAACAGAAGCACTAGGTGTGCTGGTAAATTCTCCACCCTTAGATTAAAAAAAAGGATAAATCAATGCATCTTAATGTTGACATAGTCCTATATCACCTATATTCAACTTTTTGAAAAATGGCAATTGTATGATAGAACTCTAGTAGTCACTATTTCAAAAAAATTTTTTTCTCAAACTAATTTTCGTTCATACGTTCTCATAATAAAATATTTTACACATAAATTCAAAAAAATTTCCTAATTTTTAATCACACATTTTCAAAAAATTCAATATTTTAAAGTTCATTTCCGTACTTTAGCAGTAGACAAATATGGGATTAAAGTTTGCGAAGAGGAGCCCAACTGGGAAAATGTGCCAAAAAAATCAGTAGCAACTGGAATTTTTTTTTTTTTTTTTTTTTCAATTATTTGGATGGTTGGACAAAAGAGGAATGAGGAGGGAATCTTACGAGGAACTTTAAATAGTTAGATTTCGTTCATTTATTGGAGCAAACTACACCCAATGGCCTTTTGCCACGTGATTGAAACTACTATTCCTCAAGTGAGTGTACCCACTAATGGTGCGTTTGTTTCCTTGGGAGAAAAATAGAGTAATGAATAGTATTTTTGGAAATTGTATGATTGAAAAGTAAAGTAATTTTATTGTTTTGTGTGTATAATATTTTTTTGGGTGAATATGTG